AAGAGGGGGGGGGGGGGGAGGTCAGAGGTAGGAAGAAGAGAAGGCAAAGGACTTCAAAGATGGGCCAGGGGGCGGAAGGACATCGCGGTACCCGGAGGGGGGGGTCAAGCCTTCGCTGAGAGAAGACCCCCTCTCAGAAACCGGGAGGAAGCTTTCTTTGCGCCCGCTGCAGAAGAAGAAGGCCGTTTGTTTTTGTCCCCCCCCCTTTCTCTTCCTGGGGGTTTGTTGTGTGTGTGGTTTTTTTTTCTTCTTTTTCCTCCCCTTCTTCAGACTCGCCGGAAGTGACGCGTCTGAGTTAAAATCCCTTTCTTACGGAAGCAGCAATCCTCATATCCTTCCGCTGCCATTTCGGGGCTTGGTGGTGTGTGTGGTTTTTTTCTTTTTTGGTCCAAGGGGGGGGGAAATAGTCCCGCTCATCCCTTCCTAGAAAGTAGAGGCGACTCCCTCCCGTCCGAGGCCTGTTTCTGATCCTTTACACATCGAGGCTTGACGTCACGGGACCTCTCCTTTTAATATCCCGCTCGGAAGAGCTGAGGAGGAAATTATGTAACGGGGGCTGCTACACACAGCCCATAAAAAGTAGGCCTTGGGGTTGGCGGAGGAATGTGTGGAAGGAGACGGCCTACAAACGGTCGACTTCCGGTGCCGACCATTCGTTTCTCTCATTCTGTCTTTCTCGCCCAGTGTGTGTGTGCAACGGCCGGCTAGGCCCCGCCCCCTTCTTTAGAACCTTTGTGGGGCCCCGCCCGCCTGCGCGAGCTCCGAGGCGCTCTTGTTCCTCGCGGCTACCTGGCCACCTTCGCCTCACAAAGCACCTGGGACTCCGCTCGTTTTCAGTATCCCCCGCGCCCCACGAGCTAAGCTGGCCATTTGTTCCACCCCCCGCCAACAGTTCCCAAGAATCACCGCTCGTTACCCGTCGTCAAAGCGGCTCCTTTCCACGGAATCCCGGCACCACAGTTCCCTGATCCCCTCGCAGCCCCTTCCAGAGCCAGCCAGCCTTGAGCATCCCTGCTCTCTAAAAACCGTTTTTCCGGAACGGATTTGACCTTAGCCAAGAGCCTTGGGGCACCTTAATGGCTATCAAGTTTCGTTTAACATACATAACCTTTCCAGGACAGCAGCCCCTTTCTTTCATCAGATCTAAAGCTGCAAATAAAACTTGTTACTGTGGTAAAGCACCACAAAACCTTTTATGGTTTTGTAGTGGGCAGGAAGGGACACTGTAGTTTAATAACACCCAAAGGACCACATTCCTCTTTTCACTCTTTGCATCTCCAGGACAAGCTTCTCTGTAAACAGCACAGAAGTAGAGGGTGGTTAAAAAGACTAACAGTGGCTTGTTTATTAAGACATTTTGGTACCATGAGCTACCTTCAAAATCTAGATGCAGTGGTATTACTTTTCTTCCTGGCTTGCTACATGGAAAATAATGCACATAATCTTCATTATATCATTAATCACCCAACACAATTCCTCAAAATATCAACTGGAAACGAACACAGAAAAACTATTTTTTCAACAATTTTCATTCTGTGGACAAAGAGCTAGTAATGTTATTTCCAATTGACTATGTAATAAAAGTAAAAGTAGAGAAAGTCACTGGGTTGCTTTGTCGTGGTTGTAATCCACCATCAAGTTGCCTCTGAATCATGACAACCCTATGTATAAGCAATCTCCAAACAGTCTTGCTGTCATTGCCCTGCTCAGCTCTTGTAAACGCAAGCCTGTGGGTTTAGGGAGTTTGTCCATCTTGTATTGGGTTTCTGCTGCTTTCCACCTTCCCCAGCATTATTGTTTAGGGAGTCCGTCCATCTATTGGGTTTCTGCTGCTTCCCACCTTCCCCAGCATTATTGTCTTTTCCAGATAATCCTGCCTTCTTGTGATGTGCCCAAAGTAGGACAGTCTCAGCTTCAACATTTTTGCCTTCAGAGAGATCGTTCAGGCTTGCTTGAATCTAGGACTCACTTGTTTGTTTTTCTGGTAGCCCACCCACAGTATCAACAAAGCTCTCCTCCAGCACCACATTTCAAACAAATATTTTTCTTGTCAGCTTTCTTTACTGTCCAGCTTTCACACACATACATGAGAATCAGAAGTCATTAGGCAGAGCAAAGTGGCCACCAGGGCAATCTATTTGCAATATGAAAGAGCACCAGGTGGTTATTTTGACTATCAGTACTGCTGAGGAAGGTGAGATGCAGTTATGGGATCTTGTGAAGCAAGAGACCTGGGTCAAGAGGTCCTGTTGGGAGTGCCGTCTCTCCCCAAAGCGTCTAAGGGGATGAAGACTACTCTACCACCTACCCGGCCTAGGATGATACATCACGGAGTAGACACCCAGGATCTGGAAATGGGTTTGAAGGGGTTAACCGTCTCTACCCATACTGAGCCCGAGTTGGTGGGAAAGGAAGAAAAGGGGCGGTCTATGGTAGAGGCGGGAGCAGGGGATATAAATAGAGACTGGGACGATATACCAGGGGGTTGGGAAACAATATGGTTGCAAGATCCTTGGACGGGGCATTGGGAGCAAGCCAAGGTGCCTTAAGCAGGAGGCTGAGAACCGAAGATGAAAGGATTTGCCTCAGTGTCTGTCTTATTGGGGTGAATCAGAGACTCGTGAGTGGCGGCGTCGCTTAGGAGGAGGCGGTAGCAAGGGAGACAGAGGCGCGCCGAGCATGGCATATGGAGGAGCTGCGGAAGATGGGATGTTACCTGGACCGTGGGACACCCAGCCGGGAGAGGGATCCCCATTATGGGGATGGACAGGGGATGACGAAACTCTCCCGTTACTGATTACTGAGGGAACCAAAGCAGAAACCCAAGAACCTGAACGGGGGTTGACGGGTCCTTGGGAAATGAAGTCTGTGAATCCTTTTCAAACCGACATGTGGTTGCCCTTGCGAGAGCCACTGATATTGCAAGAGAAGTTCTCGACTAAACCTGTTGATGTTACTGTCCAATTTCCAGAGTTAATAAATAGAGATATTTTGTTTGATTCAAAAGTAACTCATGGTTTATTTGAAGATGGGGAGGTCCCGAGATCTAAACCTTCACAGATCTTTTGCCTGAGCTGCAAAAATTACACTGATTTTGGGATGAGGGACACAATTTCTACAAAATATCTTGGGCAAATCCTGTTGATGCATTTTGGAAAGCACTGAACAAGCATCCAAAAGAATAACTTTGGCATTTATATTATTTATTTACAATGAATTATAAAAGTGATATACAAACAAATGTTTAAGCAAAACATTTTGATTTCCAGCTTCAATTGCTCTGGTAAAAGTTAACTTTTACCTGAGAGCAAAAGTCATTACGTGTGCTAATACTATTGACATCTTCTGTGTCCTTAGAGGACCCCTGTTCACAATCTAAGTGCTTTGATAGTCCTGTAGTGAAACAGTAGCTATTTGGGTATCCTAGTGCTAAGACTCTAAAGGTCAAAACAGAAACTTTGGACAAAGTTCAAAAGCAAAGTTAGAAATCTACTCAGAACAACAAGGAACACCAATTCACTTATCTGACCATCCATACAGAAGTTTAGCTACATAGCTGCTTCACCCTAGTGCAAAAGAGAGATTGAATAAGTCTCATCACCATATCAAGGACACCCTGTAGTAATTTTCAGATGGATTCAGCCAGCAATATGGTGAGGAAGTGGACTGTACCCCAGGAAAACTCTCACGGAAATAAATTTACTAGTCTTAAATATGCCAAAATTCTTGATTTGTTTTTGTTGCTGCTATCGTTTGAAAAATTGCTCCTGAGGATAGTTAGGCCAGGCTAAGAAAGTTGTTGTTGTTTAGTCATTAAATCGTGTCCAACTCTTCATGACCCCGTGGACCAGAGCACGCCAGGCCCTCCTATCTTCCACTGCCTTCCGGAGTCGGGTCAAATCCATGTTGGTAGCTTCCATGACACTGTCCAACCATCTCGTCCTCTGTCGTCCCCTTCTCCTCTTGCCTTCACACTTTCCCAACATCGGGGTCTCTTCCAGGGAGTCTTCTCTTCTCATGAGATGCCCAAAGTCTTGGAGCCTCAGCTTCAGGATCTGTCCTTCCAGTGAGCACTCAGGGTTGATTTCCTTCAGAATTGATAGGTGTGCTCTCCTTGCAGTCCGGGGGACTCTCAAGAGTCTTCTCCAGCACCTTAACTCAAAAGCATCAATTCTTCGGTGGTCTGCCGTCTTTATGGTCTAGCTTTCACTTTCATACATCACTACTGGAAAAACCACAGCTTTGACTATGCGGACCTTTGTCGGCAAGGTGATGTCTCTACTTTTTAAGGTGCTTTCTAGGTTTGTTATTGCTTACCTCCCAAGAAGCAGGCGTCTTTTCATTTCGTGGCTGCTGTCACCATCTGCAGTGATCATGGAGCCCAAGAAGGTAAAATCTGTCACTGCCTCCATATCTTCTCCTTCTCTTTGCCAGGAGGTGATGGAACCAGTGGCCATGATCTTAATTTTTCGATGTTGAGCTTCAGATCATTTTAGGCACTCTCCTCTTTCACTCTCATTACAAGGTTCTTAAGCACCCCCTCACTTTCTGCTATCAGAGTGGTATCATCTGCATATCTGAGGTTGCTGATATTTCTTCTGGCAATCTTAATTCTGGCTTGGGAGTCAACCAGTCCTGCCTTTCGCATGATGTATTCTGCATATAAGTTAAATAAGTAGGGGGATAATATACAGCCTTGTTGTACTCCTTTCCCAATTTTGAATCAATCAGTTGTTCCATATCCAGTTCTAACTGTTGCTTCCAGTCCCACATATAGATTTCTCAGGAGGGAGATAAGGTGGTCAGGCACTCCCATTCCTTTAAGGACTTGCCATAGTTTGCTATGCTCCACACAATCAAAGGCTTTTGCGTAGTCAATGAAGCAGGAGTAAATGTTTTTTCTGGAACTCTCTAGCTTTCTCCATAATACAGTGCACGTTAGCAATTTGGTCTCTAGTTCCTCTGCCCCTTCGAAATCCAGCTTGTACTTCTGGGAGTTCTCGGTCCACATACTGCTGAAGCTTACCTTGGAGGATTTTGAGCATAACCTTGCTAGCATTATACTATGAAAGTAGCTGGCCGAAAACCATGAATTTTATGGTTCAATACAGACTTGAGCTCAGATTTCCACATTCCTATTTAATATTCTAACCACTATTGTCATTAAGTCGTGTCGGATTCTTCGTGACCCCATGGACCAGAGCACACCAGGCTCTCCTGTCTTCTACTGCCTCTAGGAGTTGGGTCATTCAAATTCATGTTGGTAGCCTCGGTGACGACACTGTCCAACCATCTCATAGATGATCTTAGTCACTACCAGTTAAGAGCAAAAAAGTTCCACTCTTGAGCTGGAAATGATTGCAGCTGGATTAACCCCATCCTTAACACCACACGGCTAATCCTTTGAGTCTCCCATATTTTTTTAAAAAGCAGATTACACGTTCAGATAAATGCATATATACAGTAATTCCTTTGATTATCGTGAGCCGCCTTGGGTCCCTTTATCGGGAGAAAGGCGGCATATAAATAAAATAAACAGGTATTTCTCCCTCTTACAGTTTTTTTTTCTTTAACCAACTCCTTGAATCCGTGTGGCTGAGGATTCTGTAGTTTGTAGTCCAAAAAGTCACATTTCCAGCGTGAGAACATATAAACCTTTCACTGCTTAGGTGCCTGAGGTAAAAGACACGCGACCAAGCTACGGCACCTTCCAGTTGACAAGCTAATTTACCAAATGCGTATTAACGAAACTTCGCGTTATGAACAAACAAGCCCGCCGCTTCTACCCGCTGAATCAGCGCCTCGTACAGCCAGAGCCTTTCCCGTTGGGACTTCATTTCCCATGAACCTCTTTAAAAGGGTAGCCGGGTGGCTAGATAGAGAGCTGTGATTGGACAAAACTCCGAGCATCCTTTGTCACATACGTTGCGATTGGAGGAGAAATTCAAGCCTTTCGCTTGATTTATTTATTTTTTTAGTTTTTCGGTTGAGAGCCAGAGTAGCGGCAGAGGCGGGAAGGGACGTTTTTGCGGCGGCCAGGTGTTCGTGGTGAGGAAAGAGACGGGCAAGCGCGGGAGGCAGAAGAAGAGCTTGCAAACCAGATGCTCGGAAGGGAGCGGGTCTGTTGTGGGGGGTTGTATGGAGTTCTGCCAGGGAGGGATCAGTTCCTGGCCGATCTTCATTTTTAATAATATTATTTCGACTTATATACCGCCCTATGGTGCTAAATTGCAAGGCAGAAGCATCAGAAGAGCCTGGTGCCCAGGAAAAGAAAGCATCCTTTTGACACGTGGATGGTCCCCTTTGGTTTCTCCCACGAGTTTGGTGCGGACCCCACCGTTGTGTGGTAAATACTGAGCAGGATCCTGGAGTTTGGCTTGAGGAGAGCTGAGTAAACTCTCCCACCCCTTTCTCAGCAGCAAAGTTCAGACCCATTCTGGACCATTCCTATTTTCTCAAGTCAAGTTCACAGGGTTGGTGGTGGGAAGAAACCAAGGGTTTCATCTGTGTTTTTATATTTGGTTGGCAAAGTCTGTTCACTAGCCCAGGTGTGGGTAGCCTGATCACTGATAGCTGCTCATGCTCTCCATAATTTAAGCCTCCCTTTCAGATATTCTCTTACATACCACTAGCGTTTCCAGCCAACAACAGTTCTGGCTGGTTTAAATATCCTAGCCCAGGGACAGCACTCTGATGTCCCCTGTTTCCTTGCTCTCTCATGGAGAGTTTAGTTGTAATCCTCACAGCAACTGAAGAGAGAAGTGGATTGGCCCAGGTAGAATACACTATATATTATTGCAAGATAATACACAGGATGTTTCTTTTTTTCCTACAAGGAAATTATATTTGTAGAAGTAAATTGTATGAAACAGACCTTACTGATTGCCATGTTGCTCATTTAGAGGCACTCTTTGTTCGAAATTAGTTTCATGGTTTCCCAAAAGTGGCGTTAGCCGTAAGGATCTGTGATAGAAACTTGCCACAGAGTGGGTTGTAAGAAGATGATGGGTATGTCAGTCTATGGGTGGTGGTAAATTGAAGATGCAGCAAAGCTGAAAGTGGTGGAACAAAACATAAAGGGAATGCAAACAAAAACCGCTAAAGGATACCTATAAAACTTGAATACTAAATATTAATTGAATTGTGAAATAATTTTATTTTTGTTTGTTTTCAATTGATGTAGATGAGATAGTTGTGAGCTAGATGTAGGTGGAGAAGTTTTGCAGAAAATGCTAGCACGATTACAGTCTTAATTTTTAAAAAGGCTTAAGAAATTTTGGAAAACCTAGTTGTGCCCAGGTGTTATAAGTCAGGATTGAAGTGACTCACAGTGGTGGACTAGATCAACCATCTGATTTAGTATGTCAGCCCCTTGTATGTTTTACCTGACATATTCATTATAGGAACAAATAACAGGAAAAACATAATTTGGAAAGCAGCAAATTTTACTTTGTTTTCTTATATTTTGACTGAAAGAGCAAGGCAGAGTTAAAGGTACAGTATGTCCTGGAATGGAGACAATTGTGAAGGAACCTTAATTAGTTCCTTTCTTAAAGCAATTTATCTGTACAGTGGAAAGCAGGATATGAAACAACCATTCATTCTTCCTCCAAGCTCTTGGTCACATGTTTCTAATACTTTTTATTTTATGCTGCAGGAGTGAGAGCCATGACTACTTCTCCAAGAACACCCTCTGCCTCCAAAAGGTATGTAAGAGAACTTCTTGATATCTCCATGTGCTTTTGTTGGTTCCCCCTTCATTTACCTTTTTAATTGGCGTGTTTGGGCTCATGTTTCCCGCGATCTGTATATGTTTGTTATTGATCTGCAGTATCTTTAACAATTTCCTTTCCTACTTCATTTCCTTGGAGATCCAGGAATCTATTGCTCATCAACTGTGGTGGTCATGTTTGTTTTAAATACCCCTGTTATTTTTTCTTATAGACTTTTAATGTTCCTTTGTTATCGCTACATGATTGTTCTAATCGCACAGCAGAAATAATCAAGTAAAAATTATACACAATGAGGTGATCTACAGTGGGGTCTCTACTTAAGAACTTAATCCGTATTGGAAGGTGGTTCTCAAGTCGAAAAGTTCTTATGTTGAATCTGCATTTCCCATAGGAATGCATTGAAAACCATTTAATCTGTATCTGCTTTTTTCCGTCCATAGAAACTACAGTGGAACCTCTACTTAAGAATTTAATCCATTTTGGAATGGCGTTCTTAAGTTGAAACGTTCTTAAGTTGAAGCAAAATTTCCCATAGGAATGGACTGAAAACCAATTAATCCGTTCTGGCTGTTTTTTTGTTATGTAGAGGTGTGTTCATACATTGAAGCATTAGTTCCCATAGGAACTAATGCAAAGCTGGTTAATACGTACTCTACCACTAGGGGGAGAATTTTTTTTAACCTAAGATGACCTAAGGTTAAAAAAAGAGCAGGAAAGTTTTTTTTTCCTGTTCTTATCTTGGATTTCTGTTCTCAAGTAGAAGCAAAATTTAGCAAATGGAGCTGTTCTTAAGTTGGATTGTTCTTAAGTAGAGACGTTCTTAAGTAGAGACCCCACTGTATACATAGAAGTGGTTTCCCATTCCTTTCCTCTAGGGGGAGCCCTGGGACTGCAGCTTGCCCAAGGCCACCCAGGCTGGCTCTCTCTCTGGAGGCACAGTAGAGAATCGAATCCCCAACTCCTGTCTCTGCAGCCAGAGACTTAAACTACTGAGCTACTCAGACAGCTTATGCATACAGTTGCATGTACATATAGGTATACATACACAATTTATTATTTTACCTATTTGGTTTAAAAAAAAACCCATGGCAATTAAGACAGGAGCTTAGGTTTGAAAACCAGGAAACTGGAAAATAAGCTTGATGCCTTAATACAGGGGTCCCCAACCTTTTTCACCTGCGGACCGGCTGGGGAAGGTGGGGCACCCCTCGTGCTCATGTGCATGTAGGAATGAGCGCACTCTCATGCGTGAATGAGCATGCACATGTGCAAACAGCAGTGTAGTGCTTGCATGGGCACGCTGGAGCACATACACAAATCAGCTGTGTGGGGGTGAGTGCATGGGGGGCGGGGGGAGGTCTGTCTCTGCAGCCAGTCCAGCTCAGGCCACGGACCGGTACCGGGCCACGGACCAGGGGTTGGGGGACCTTTGCCTTAATAGTCCCAACTCACAATAAGGAAGGATATAAATACAGCAGCCTCACCAGTTGTGCTTGCTTACATCTACACTAAGGCCTGAGTGAAATGCAGGGAAGAAAATACAGACTGATCATTACGCAACAACTTAAATATATGCAAAATAATAGAAGTGATCATTCACAAGGCATAGCTGACATAACCCTACCTGCATTGTAACACCATTAAGAAGAAAGGGTTAATGGCAGAGAAGCCATACTGTTGTACAAATGCTGGAATATCTGCCATCCAGAGGTTTGTGGAGAAATCTTTGGATGCACTGTAACAAACCACTAGCAGGTGCATGTTTATGGCGCAAAAGTTTACAGAGAAAGCCCCCCCCCAGTTGTCTATATGAGACCTCAGCTAGTACCTGGGAAGGTATTTTCTTCCCACTGAAGCACATCCGGTGGCTCCTTTTCTTTTTCCAATTTCATTGCCATGCCAGGAAGTCCTGATCAGGAGCAAGGGATAAGAAAATGGAAGATTAAACAGGTAGACTGATCTCCGGGACCAGACAAGAAAGGAAACTGAGCTACCTGCTATGAAGAACTCTGTACAGGTCTGTTAGTATAGCTTAGAGAGTAAGCTTTTTTATTGTTTTCTGTGGGAACAGCTTTATCATGCCTTGAGCTCTGTGAGTTCTGCTAATGTTACCTGATGATGTTTTTTGTAATCACTGCTGAAATTGTGTGTAACCACTCCAAAAGAGGCCCGGAAAGCATCAAGCAGAAACCGGGCCTTTTCAGTAGTGGCCACTCCGCTCTGGAATTCCCTCCTTGTGGAGGTGCAATTGGCCCCCATCCTCCTGAGCTTCTGCAAGCAAATTAAAACCTGGCTTTTTATCCAGGCCTTCCCAAGCATCATCCTTTCGTAAAATTATGCTGGCCTGTTGTCTGCTATCCTGTGTCCCAGACTGGTGATTTTATGGTGAGGGGGCAGGGTTTTGTTTGTTTTCTTTTAATATATTTTATATGGTTTTAATATTTTAACCTGTATGTTTTATAATATTTTGTAAGCCACCCAGAATAGTGAAATGCTCACTAAATGGGTGGAATGTTTATAGAAGGAAAAGGTTCACTGGCTTCCCAGTTCACAAGAGAACATGACCCTTCTTTCCAGATGTTCTGTCTTTGCTCAAGAGGGTCTGCTATATGTTTCATAAAACTATGGACTTGGGAGATAAGTCAAATATTTACATTATGTTTCAGTTCAGACTCAGATTTATTGACCTGAATAAACCTGCGGAAGTTCTGTCTTTTTAGGTTATTGCTTGATATTAAACAAATATTGAGGCTCAGCAGCTTTTATGATTTTAATTATTTCCACTTTATGTCAATCCATTATGCTCAGGTCAACCACTAGCCGTGGCTACCCCCAAAGTGCTGGATCCCCATCACCGCATCCAAAAGATTCTACCCCTCTTCCTTCAATCAATGAGCGCCTGGCCTATCTTCGTCCCTCTCGGGAACTGCTGGAATACTATCGGAAGAAGATTGCACAGTTTGATGAAGAACATGAAGAGCTGGTCAAAAGACTGGAAAAATACAAAGCTACATATGATGAGCAGGTGGGGGAAAACAAGTGATTTAGCCAGTGTAATATGAGTTAAATATTTTGAAAGAGGAGTTTTGTTTTTCTCTGCTTTCAAACAATGTATTTACCGTGTTGTTTTTTCTATGGTAGTCTGAATGAGGGATGTTGTTCTAAAAAAAATACATGTGTCCCACCTGGCTGTAGTTGTGGCATCTGTCTGTGGCTGGGGGAAAATGCCCAGTTTTTAAAACCTTAGTTTCTTTAAATTATTAATCAGTAAAGGAAATAATTTACTGTTTAGGTTGGTTGGTTGGTTGATTGATTGATTGATTGATTGATTGATTGATTGATTGATTGATTGGATTTCTATCCCGCCCATCTAGATCAAAGGTCTACTCTGGGTGGTTTACAGATTTAAAAACAATAAAACCAAAAACACATATGTCCAAGATGGCGAATCAAAGGTCTACTCTGGGTGGTTTACAGATTTAAAAACAATAAAACCAAAAACACATATGTCCAAGATGGCGAAGTATAAGAAATGAAGATATTTTAAAATATAAACTTGAGTTTGAGTGTAATTCATCTGTGTCTATCTGTCCTTAGACTCATTCAGTGTTACACACGAAATGAGTTCTAATGTCATCAAAATTGTATCAGTATTAAATTTGATTAAAAGTTACCATCACAGCCTTTTCAGTCAAGACAATAGACATACAAAGCCAGCAGAGAGACATTGTCTTCATTTATATACAGATATAGCTGATGTGGAAGTGAGGGTAGACATGCATCATAAAGGAGCTCAAGACACTGTGAGAATGTATGTATAGCACACTGATTAATCTTAAACCAATACGGTATAGGCGCTATCTGATGATTTCCTTGCTGCCACCTCTTTTCTGGTGAGGAAGTACATCACAGACTGTGAAAAGGGTGCACTCGGTGTTTCAGGTGCTGTCTTTTGCTGCAGCAGAAGAGGTGGGCAAGCAGGTTCTTTCATGCAAGGCGAGGAAGGAATGCTCAGCTCATTAACCAACATATCTGCCCCCTTGGTGGTGTATCCCACTGCTGAGAAAATGATTCATCTCGCCCATCAGGAGGACCCAAAGCAGGAAGGTGGCAGCAATGGAGCTAGTGCTAATGGTAGTATCTGGGAGTAGATCCATGAAGTCTTAGGCAGAGACCGCAGAGTGAACTTTCTGCTGGAGAGCATGTGCTCTGCCATTAATTTGAGGCATGTAACGTAGGAAATGGGAAAATAAATAGGAAGGTGTTACTGTTCAGTTAATGAAGGCAAGGAGAGGTTTGGATGGAGACAGGCTTTGAAATGGTGCTGAAGGTAGCAGAGAAAATTTGTTCATAAGTTGAAAGAATCTCCATTGTCCATTGTTGCTTTCATATATAAAAAAGAATTCCCAGCAAAGATATTAGCTGCGGAAGGTGCAGAGCCTTCAGAAACATTTTGCTGCAATCTGCCTGAATTAAATTAAATTTCGCCATCGTCAAAGTAGGTTTGACCTTCATAGAAGAAGCTAAAGATGAATATTTTCCAAAGGAATTTACAGCTCAGTAGTCCCATTCCTGCATCAACCGACCATTGTTACTTTGTCGACTATCTAGGCATTCATCTGGCCGTGTATTTGCACTGCAGTATTACAGGAAGTGGATTTTGATCCAAAAGCTCGCCCAGAAATAAAATGGCTAGTCTAAAGTGCTGCAATATTTTGTTTCTCTTTTCTTTGCCCAACACACTAAACATCTTGAAAGATGAAAGAGTTCTTAGTGGGGAGCCACATCTCAGCATTAACCATCAGGTAATCTATTTTCTCTGCACAGCATAAATTACAATGGGAAATGCGTCAACGGGAAGAAGAAATTGCAGAGCTGCAGAAGGCTTTGAGCGACATGCAAGTTTACCTCTTCCAGGAGAGGGAGCACGTGCTACGTCTTTACGCTGAGAATGATCGGCTGAAAATCAGGTTTGTTGTATAACCGGGAACGGCAGAAAAAAAGACATCCAATAGAAAAAAAAATCCTCAATACTGGAGAGAGAAGTGCTAGGTTCTAGGAGGTAATGATTCAGGAACAGAAAGCATCTGAAGATGACAGGGATAGATCTTTGGAACATCCTGAGTTGTTTTTGTATGTCAGTAAAGATGAGATGTATGAACAGACTACACGGAAGTGGTATGCATGTGTTTTACCCATTTTAGTGAGAGAAGAAGATTAAGGCTTGCTTGCTTGCTTGCTTGCTTGCTTGCTTGCTTGCTTGCCTGCTTTCTCTTTCTTTCTTTCTTTCTTTCTTTCTTTCTTTCTTTCTTTCCTTCTGAAGAATTCCTTTGGGAAGAATATGGCACATAGTACAGTCCTCAAGTGCATCAGGAGAGAAATGCCACTCTCCCTTCCCTTCTGCTATTGTCCTGGTAGGGCTGCAGTTCATACTTCTTTTTTCATATCTAAAAAGTAAACTTTTACGTCGTGATGTGCAGACAAGCTGTCTAGTGCTTATACTGTATAAATGTACTTTGGTACTTCCTCTAGCACAGCATTCTGATATACAGAACTTGTATAATAAGGAAAAGGTGTACGCTGTAAGGATTTTTTTTAACTTGGGAAAGGCTGTCTCCATTCTAAGTCAGCATGTGTATGACTGACTGATTGCTTATGAACAAAACAGCACCGAAGGCATATCATTGGGAATTTTACTAACCTTGCTTCATTGTTTCCTGTGACCACTTTTTTCACATAGATCATTAGCTTTGTTTGATTATGAATAAGTAATGTTGTTATAGATGTTTCAGGTTTGCTATTCTTTCAGGGTTTTTTAACGATATTGACGAGACAAAAATATAGGAATCCACAAAGTTGGGTTTGATTTACTCCTTGTAGAGCTATTATTTATGGTTCTTAGTGGCCCTTTTTGCAGGTTGGAATCCGTCAACAGGACGGAAATATTTATTATATTATTTATTTATTTCTCAGTACAGTGTGTTCTAAAATAGAGAACATAATCTCCACTGCAGTGGCATGAAGCCGCATCTGACCTACCTGGGTCAATAGGGGGCTATTTGGTGTGTTTGATTGTGAGAACGTCCTCCTTCCTTCCAGGACAAAGCTATGTCGGTACTCTCCTTTAGACGTTCCTTTCTACAGTGGAGCGGGGCATCCTTTCCCATCCAAGTTGTTGTGGAGGGATGCTAGATGGTTTAGCAGGCTGCAGCAATTTGGGACAGATCAGAAAAAGTGTACCAACTTTTCTTTTTTCCTTGCATCATACTGTGTTGGTCTAACTGTTGTTGGTCTAACAAAATTTCCAATGCAGTTTTCCCTGGTTTGTTTGTTTGTTAATTTGTCTTTCTTTTTTTAATCATTTGTTTTGTCTATCAGACTGTGTGTCATGTTCTACAGCTTGGAGGAAATGACTGGGGTTCCTGGGCAGTCCTCATACTGTAGAAGGGACCAAGCACATACATGAATGATTGCAAAAACTTGCCTATTAGTGCTAGTGGGAGGGACAACTCACCATAAGCATGTTTTCTCTCACTGTAGGGAATGACTGTCTTATAGTAGGCATCAGCGTATCTTTTTATGAGATTATGTGCAGTAGTATTGAGGCTTCTATAGAGAAAGAGGATATGTAAACAGTGGCTTTGCTTTCTGTTGCGCAAATGTTTGATGAGCTTCCACTAGTCAGCATTAAAAGTGGGGTACACTAGTGTACTCAGGAGCAGAAAACAAGTTGACTACCTTTCAATCAATTCCAGAGAGTTGGAGGACAGAAAGAAGATCCAGCACCTTTTGGCTTTAGTGGGAACAGACAATGGTGAAGTTACCTATTTTCACAAAGAACCGCCGCATAAGGTAAAAGTGCTTCAGTTAATATGCAGATATTTTCATTTGCTTATTGTACCGTGTTAAACCAAGATTAGCGTATTTTCAAAAGGTACTTTAATGTGCTCTAATAGCTGAGAAGATTGAATCCACGCGACGGAGTGAGCTCCTGTCGCTTGTCCCAGCTCCTGCCAATCTATCAGTTCGAAAGCATGCAAATAGATAAATAGGTACCACCACAGTGGGAAGGTAAGGGCGTTCCGTGTCTAGTCACGCTGGCCACGTGACTACGGAAATTGTCTTCGGACAAACGCTGGCTCTATGGCTTGGAACGGGGATGAGCATCTTGAGTTGGACACAACTGGACTAAATGTGAAGGGAAACCTTTACCTTCAATAGTTGGAAAATATTTCTGGATGTAAAAGATCCTTGTGCCTATATCTATAAACTACAAGCAGTCAGCAGCTGAAAAAAGTAAAGCAAAGTACTTGTGTCTTCTGATTGTTTGGGCTACAATTCTTATAAACCCTGGCCAGTCATCATGGATTTTTATTTTATTGTTCCATTTTAATTTTTGTATTTCATTCTACCTTTTTTCCCAATACAGTGGTGCCTCGCTTAACGAGTGCACCGTTTAACAACGAATCCGCATAGGGACCCATTTTTTGGGGTCGCTAATACGATCGCATTGCGATGTTTAGATAGGCTAAACATCGCATTGCGATCATTTCTGCACCCGGCAGCCATTTTGAAAACAGCTGATCGGCGGTTCCAGAATGGCCGCCCGCACCATTTTCACACCCTGCCCTCGCTTACCGAGGGCGCAAAAATGGCGGCGCTATGGAGAAACTTCACAGAACGGTGAGTTTAGGAGCCATAGGAACGCATTAAACTAAGTTTAATGCGTTTCTATGGTGTTTTCCGTTCCGTATAGCGATGTTTCCCCATAGCGACAGTTAATCCGGAAGGAATTAACCTCGCTATGCGGGGCACTACTGTACAGAGATTCAAGGCAGATTACAAATACATTTCTTTAAATGCATGTTTTATAATATTAAAATACAGTTAAGCAACATAATAAGTGTGATGTACTGGATAGATTGATGGACTATAACTCTGGAGAAAAAGGTTTAAATTTCCACTTAGCCATGGAAACTCATGTGTGGAGTGGAACTGGTAAGACTATCCCTTAAATATCTTACCTACCTTTAAAGCCCTATATGGATCACTATATATTGGTAATTGAGGGCACATAAGAACAAAAGCATATAATAATAACAAAAGACCACTAGGAGTGCAGTAACCCATTGACAGCCTGTTCAACTGCCAAAAGCTTACCTGAGGATTTTTTTTAAACTTTTGCCTACCATGGAGGAACAGAGGGAAGAAGGAGGTCAGTTTGGCTTCCCATGGAAGAGATTTCCATAGCCTGGAAGCAGTCACTGAAACGCTTTATCTCATGTCCTCACCAGACATGCCTGAGAGGATACTCAGACTGAAAGAAGGGACTCTCACACATTGCTTTTTTCTTCCTCCCTCTTCTTCAGCCTGGTGGAGTGGCTGTCTGATGACAAGAAGCTGGATTCTCAGGAAGCTTCCGTGATCTTTCCCTCTCTCAATCTCTGCTTTGGCTGTTCTGATCCAAAGCATATGGGTGGGGCAGGTTGTCTGTCTGTGTATTTAATGGATAAAGACTTGAAAGATAATTTTTTATTTGCCGCTAAAGTTGGCAATACATTTTCCTTAGTTGCCAACACATAAACAGAAATTTCTATGCCACAGATGTTATGCAGGATCACTACTCAGGGTCTCTTTCAGCAATTTAGAAATACAGATTCATAATAAAACAGTACAAAATAAGGTGGAGACAAGCACAGCAGATAAGGCATCCTGTTTGAAAACTGCCGCCTACCACCTGTCAAGATAAAAACCTGCAGGATGACAGAGGGAGATCTGAACCTTTGAACAGCATGTTCTGCGATATTGTTGCATCCGCCACAAAAGCCATTTTACACTAGCAGGAATGTTTATTTGTGATACTTTAAAGCTAATTATACTATGAGGTTTTAAAGCCCAAAGTTTATTACCAGATAGCTACTGTCGTTGGCAGGTTAGTACACTGGTGTCTCAACATACGAACTTAATTGTTTCCGGAACTCCGTTCGTAACTCGAAATGGTTTAAGTCGAAGCACCATTTCTCATAGGAATGCATTGAAATGCAATTAATCCATTCTGGCCGAAGAAACAAATCACCCAAAAAAACCCACTAAACACTGCAAGACCCATCGGAAACACAATTAATCCGTTCCGGCTGAAGGGGGGGGAAGCAAACAAACCACACAAGACCCTTCGGAAATGCAAAAAAAGCAAAGCAGAAAGCAAACAAATTGTGCAGGACCCATCGGAAACTAAGAAAAAGCAAAGCAGAAAGCAAACAAACCGTGCAGGACCCATTGAAAATGGAGAAAAAGCAAAGCAAAACGCAAACACTCCGCAAGGCCCATCGGAAATGGGGGGGAACCCCCCAAAAAGCAAACAAACCCATCAGACATTGGGGGGACCCAAAAAGCAAACAAACTCTGCAAGACCCATCGGAAATGGGGGGGAAAGCCCAAAAAGCAAACCCCGCAAGACCCATCACAGCATAGAAACATCATCCCACCACCCAGCCCAAAACCACGATGCAAAACCTACCCAGAACAGTCTAAAAATTTGAAAGCAGCACCTTACCTTACCAGGCAGTCTGAAGCCTCCTCTGATCGCACACTCTCTAACCTCTGTGGCGAAAGAGCTACAAAGAAGCAGCCTCTTCGCCACCAATGATTATTAATTTGAATTCTTCGCCTTTTTTCCTTGCCTGTTTTTGGTTGTAACTCAAAGCTCTGGCCGCAAGTCGAAGCAAAATTTTGCAGCCGGAGCTGGTCGTAACTTGAAATGGTCGTATGTCGGGACATTTGTAAATCGAGGCACCACTGTATCAAGATTTATTGTCCCTGCTAATTTATTGTTCTGTTGTTATAAATTGCTTATCCATTTTTAATAAAAGTATTGTTGTTATAATTCTTCTTTTAAGTCTGCAAGCCATTCTAAGTATCTCTTGAATGATAAATAGGGATCATAGGTTCAGAATTTGGCTTATAGGGTGTTCCCACAGGTAGAGGGGTGAGATTGTTTTTGCTGATTTTCCTCTTACCACAACAGTTGCCTTTGTTTTTTTAAAACCTCCTGCGGAGAGTTGGAGAACCCTCAGGAGTGGTAAACAAGATAGTGCTGTGTGCTAGAGACCCAGTGGGCACACAATTATCATACATACGCAGGTCTAGTCCCATACATCAGCTCTGTACCGAGGGACTGATCCAACCTCATACTCTGAATCCTTCCTTAGCATGAGCACAGTAACCATTTGAGATGACTCGGGGATGAAACTGGATGAAATCATTTACCCACTGTGGGTTCCCACTCATTGCAGGAATCTAGAAAAGTAAAGGTTCCCCTTGACAATTTTTTTGTCCACTCATGTTCGACTCTAGGGGGCGGTGCTCCCCCCCGTTTCCAAGCCATAGAGCCAGCGTTTGTCCGAAGACAATCGTCCGCGGTCACATAGCCAGTGCGACTTAGACACGGAACGCTGTTACCTTCCCACCGAGGTGGTCCCTATTTATCTACTTGCATTTGGATGCTTTCGAACCGCTAGGTTGGCGGGAGCTGGGACAAGCGACAGGTGCTCACTCCGTCATGTGGATTCGATCTTACGACTGCTTGGTCTTCTGACCCTGCAGCACAGGCTTCTGCGGTTTAGCCCACAGCGCCACCACGTCTCTGTAGCGCCACCACGTCTCTAGGAATCTAGAACCTCAGCTGTAATTGAAACTGAGCCAACCTCTTATGTTACTATAGTTCAGGCATGCAGGATGATTATCTTATTTTTAAATATCTTTCTCTTTATTTTTCTTTGTCACTTTTCCCCCCTTCTAACTTGTATCTGAAAAGCCAAGGCAGAGCAGAAAATGAGCAAACTGTTTTGGTCCTTATAGGTCACTATACCTCAAAGATCAACCAAGAACGGGGATTCACATGACCGAAATAAGCCCACTTTAAAAACAGGTAATGGGGAAAAATAAAAATTATGCCCAGCAAAGAAGACCTCTGAAACGTAGCATATCTTGAAATATTTTAAAAGGCCTGAGCTTTAAAAAAAGAAATATATTTATTTCTTCTAAAACCTCCATATACAGTTAGTTGTTTCACTTTTGCTATCTATTACGGCCTAGAATAAGAGGGTAAACCTTCTGGTTAGGTAGATAAAAGGATTTAATCATTTTTAAGGAATTAAACTATCATTTCTACTTAAGGTATGAAAAACTCTGCCTCAAAACGAACAGCAAAGGGAGATAAACCAGAAAGTGGGGATAGATACCCAAGAGATGATCAGACACTCTTATTACAGGTACGACAACCTGGATTTCTTTTACATTTAATTTTTAAGCCAATTATCTTTTTTAAATGAAAAGTCTACTGTGCTTTGTGGTCATTTTAGTCTCTTGTGCATCCTTCTATTGAAATGTGTGGAACTGTGGTTCAGGGAAATATGTAGGATAATAATAATAGTGTGTTATCAAGTCGATTCCAATTTACAGCCACCCCTTTCTAGGGTTTTCTAGGGAGAGAATACACAGAAATGGTTTACCATTCCATTTTTCTGGGGGCTCCCTGAAATGGTACAGCTTGCCAAGACTACACAGGTTGGCTCTTCTACCAAAAGGCACAGAGGGGAATCAAACTCCCAGCCTCTGGAGATCCTTAAACCATTGAACTATCCAGGCAATATAGATTTATAATGCAAACTGCAAAATTAGCCTTCCTGAAGCAATACAGATATCTGTGAGAGAACAAGGGGCAAGGAGATCCGGAATCATTTGCCTTAACCCACCTTCCCCCTCCTCTATGTTTATTTGTTAGGATAGAAAGATGAATTTGTAATTGAACCAAGATGATTTAAACATGTTGTAAATAATGGCTTTGATCCCAATGGCTTTGATTTTTAAATCTTTTTCCTTTTTAAATCTTTAAATCTTTTTTCAATCTTTTTAAAGGAGTATTTTTGACTGTAGTTGTGCATTGCTTTACAAGCCACTATAAGCTAGGAATCAATGAAAAATATTTTGAATAAGTAATTGAATAAAGAGGAGTGGAAAGTGGAATTTCTAACTGAATCTATAAGCTTTAAGTGTGTCATAAAAATGGCTTAGATCCTGTTGCAGATGAACATAAAGATATTCATCCTTCAGTGAACTTCCTTAAGTTATTTTTGGGATCAAGGACAGTAATTATGTTATTAATCAATCACCTTTCAGTGGGTTAAATGCAATAAATTGTATGCCTTATTCATGTTCTACTATTGCTCTCAGCAAGCAATTTGCTTTAGGGTAATTGCTCAAAGGATTTTAAGATTATACTGTAAAGTTTATAGGTGCCCTATATATTTTCTCTTTGCCTTTGATCTCTTCACACTCGATTATACTTTGGTTTCTTGAAGGCTTTCACTGCCGGGATCTGATGGTTGTTGTGGGTTTTTCAGGCTCTTTGGCCGTATTCTGAAGGTTGTTCTTCCTAACATTTCGCCAGTCTCTGTGGCCGGCATCGTCAGAGGATAGGAGTCAGAACTCTGTCTGTGCTCTGGGGCAGTTTGTTTGGATAGTTGAGTATTTAGAGCTGTGGGATCAGCTTTTGTCCTTTTCAGGAGATGGGTGATTATGGTGATCAGCATGTTTTTTGTTGTGGGTGTATTGTTGTGATAAGGGGGAGAGATTATCTATCACTGTGATTGATGGGTGTTAGCTGGTCTTTTGTGTGCGGTGATCACTGGTCCTTGTGGCTGGGCAGAACTCGTTGACCTTTTGCAGGCTGTATTTTTCAGTGCTAGGAGCCAGGCTTTGTTGAGTTTTAAACTTTCTGGTGTGGATGCTGCGTTTTGTGGTTCCAATATACACCTGGCCACAACTGCAAGGTATCCGGTATACTCCTGCAGTGGTGAGTATAAAATACAACAATTATTATGGTCAACAAAGAACAAAAGGGACTCCTACAGGGGTATACCGGATACCTTGCAGTTGTGGCCAGGTGTATATTGGAACCACAAAACGCAGCATCCACACCAGAATCAAAGAAGATGAGAGACACTGCAGACTAAAACAACTGGAAAAATCGGCAGTAGCGGAACATTTCAAAATACTGAAATACTGGACAAAATCAGCAATCATTATGTTAGACTGCATAGGGAAGCCATTGAAGATTATACTGTAAAGTTTACAGGTGCCCTATATCTTTTCTCTTTGCCTTTGATCTCTTCACACTCAATTATACTTTGGTTTCTTGAAGGCTTTCACTGCCGGGATCTGATGGTTGTTGTGGGTTTTTCAGGCTCTTTGGCCGTATTCTGAAGGTTGTTCTTCCTAACATTTCGCCAGTCTCTGTGGCCGGCATCTTCAGAGGACAGGAGTCAGAACTCTGTCTGTGCTCTGGGGCAGTTTGTTTGGATAGTTGAGTATTTAGAGCTGTGGGATCAGCTTTTGTCCTTTTCAGGAGATGGGTGATTATGGCGATCAGCGTGTTTTTTTGTTGTGGGTGTATTGTTGTGATAAGGGGGAGAGATTATCTATCACTGTGATTGATGGGTGTTAGCTGGTCTTTTGTGTGCAGCAACAATACTTTGGTTTCCGCATTAAGCATGCTAAAGTCTGCCTCCAAGCCTGCAGTTAAAGAAGAGTAGTCAGAAAAGCCTTATGGAGTCCCTTACGGTGACAACACCCTTCTCCTGCCCCTCTCCCTATTGTATCTTGATAGATTATAATGTAGGAAAGTTCACACTTGATCTTTCACTGTCTCTAATCTTGGTTTAGCTGGCTTACTAGCTCAGTGGTTTAGTGATCTGGCTGCAGAGGCAGATGTTGGAATTTTGATTCAGAGATACGTATTCAGCACCCTAAGATTAATTTACATTTCAGCTGACTTTGTCTTAGATAGCAGTGGCTTGCCTTCACATCAGAACACATCTCCTTTCCCAATGTAGGATTTCTAGGCAAGTTAAATAAAGTATGGATGAAGGGACTCGAACATCTCCCAAATGTCAAAAATAGATTTTTTCTAAATAGAGTTTAGGTATCTGGCTGCTGAGCCATAGGTTGGGAGTTTGATGCCCTGCTGTACCTCCTGTGAGTACAACCAGCCCGTGTGGCCTTGGGCAAGCTGCACAGTCCAAGGGCACCCTCATAAGAAGGGAATAATAAATCACTTCTGTGTATTCTCTACCTAGGAAACACTGGAAAGTTTTTCCATAAATCATAATCAAACAACAATTATTTTAATCCATTTAAATGTCCCTTTGATTTTGTTAAGATCTTTTGGAAGAAATCTGTTTTTTCCTGTTTTGTTCTCTCCTATGCTTTGCACTGGTTATTGTGACAGTTCTCTTCCTAGCCTTCGCTCAAAAGCTGTACTTAGGATTCTGTCCCTACTTATGTCACTCTTCACTTTTCTGTCCTTAACAGTTTTAAGAGTTCTATTAGTTGTCCTTTGAGGCTTTGTTTTAGTTTTGACTTTAAGAATAATCTTTAACATTCTTTTCTTATGGTAGAGTCCCTACAAGGAAAGAAAAGGTAGGATAAAAATTAAACAAACAAATAACCATTGGTTTCAAGGCTAAATAAGAACTTCCATCAATATCTAGAGTTGAGCTGCTTCACCCATTTGCAATGAGTTTCAAGATCATAAGGTTTTTCAGTTGTTTTTCATTATTGCTTTGTTCTATATTTATTCCAGAGAAGCAAGGCTGACAATGCAGGCAGACATGAAAATCTGCAGATTCTTGCTGTTGAATATCAGCAGATTTTAAAATGCTATGAACTGTTAAGATTTTATGAACCTCTTTCATCTGAACCAGATTGTTGAGTTAATGATAGGCAACTTCCAGTCAGAAAGAACCTCCTGTTTTGTCCATTTTGGGGTGTTCTGAACTCTTCTGCTGAGGATCCTTCCCTTAAGAAGGAGTGGGGAGGGGGGAGAAAAAAGGAAAGGAAAAAAGAGGTGGGATGAGAAGTGCTCAGAATTTTTCTTGCTCAAACTCCAGCCCTTCTGAAACTCCAACCATACATTCAGTCTTTTAAGTACTGAATCTTTAGTGAGCTTCTTTGATGTCAGTTCTTCTGATGTCAGTTGCTTAGCCAACAAATCAGAAAATTACTTAGAGGCTGGATCCCATATACAGTACAGTAGCTTATTTTACTAAAGAACTTCATTCCCAGGTACTCTAGGTGGCACTCATGAGGTACAGCTGAAGTAGAGTTTTATTGCACATGCACTTAAAAAAAGAAGCAAAAATTCTTCCCACAGCAGAGTACAGAAGTTCGTGTTCTAATTAAATCTTATCAAACTCTTGCAACTGCTTTTTGTCTTGTTCAAAGACTAGCAGCACCATCTCACAATGAACAATTTAATATACACTAGAAAAATTCTGAATCCACTGTGACTTCATATAGCTAAGTGTTAGATCTTCCACCGTGGCTGAAGAAGAAATGGCTTGAAAATTCTCAAGTGGAGCCTATATCTGATAGTTTTCCTGTTCTTCCCTAACATCTAGCTATCGTGGACTAAGAACAAGGAAAAAGAGATACCTGAATATCAGAACTGCATTCTGTGTTCTCTGTCTAGTCTTTCCAAAGAATCTGCTCATGCTTGCAACCATTCAACCATTACGGTACCTTGTGGTGTGAAGGCATAGTGACAGATGTTATTTGATTTCAAAAGCAAGAGTTTTGTGGCATCTTTAGAAATCGCATGTTTATTTGTTATTAGGTTTTCTGAACTGAAGCCTACGTCTTCTGCTGTATCAGAAAGTCTCTTTTATTTTTTCTGCAACAGACATAAGAAGGCTACCTACTTGAAAAACTTAAACTCTTTGTTTTGGTGATGTCCATTATTTTCCCCACCATTTGATTTCCTCCTTAAAAGATCTAATGGGAGTGATCCAATAGTCTTAAGGAGACTTATTATTCAGATGAAAACTTTCTCATTCATGGCTGATGACTTCACTTAATGCAAATCATTACTTCTCTGAGTTTGCAATTTGCAGGTGTTATGCAGACTTCTTTACATTTCAAATTATGGCTGGCAAAGTCATCCCATGCTGCAAAATGTTGTGTGATGCCACTGTTGGCGCATCACTAAATGAGACAAGTGATCTCTTAAGAGGCAGAGAAAAACCAGCAGAGGATGTTTGCAGTACTGCAAGGGAAATCATTGTACAGTATATCTTGACATTGCTATAGATCCTTTGACACTACTTTTCTGCACTGATCCAGGTAGAAGCTCTTCAGGCTCAACTGGAAGAACAGGCCAAGCTGTCCAAGGAGCAGATTGAAGCCTTGCTAGAGGATAGACGAATCCGTATAGAAGAAGCTCAAGTCCAGCATCAGAGAGATCAGGACAAAATCAAAGATCTTACTGAAAAGTGAGTGCAAGAAAAGTGCCTTGCTTTTGTGAAAGTCATCTAGAAATAAAACTTGTTTGAGGTGCTATTCAGTGCTATGGCTGTGCCTGGAGCTCCCAGTGGTTCTGATTTGATGTGGTTTGAATGCTTGCTGTTGTATCTCTAAAAGCAAAAATAAGGTGGCAAGAACATAAGAGCCATGCTCAATCTGATAACACATCTGTCTAATATGATATTCTGTTTATCAACTGACCAGGCAGTTGCCAATGACAAGGCCATTAGCAGGTCCTGAGTGCAACTGCACCCTCTGTCTCATGTTCCATAGTGTCTTCGATACTGAAGGTGACATGTAGGCAACTTGACCAGTAACTATTGATTGGCCCCTAACCTTCCTAAATTTATTTTATCCCTTTTTGAAGTCACCGAACTTGGCAGCTGTTACTACGTCTTGTTGAACTGAGTTCCACAGTTTATCCTGTGTGAAGAAGTCTGCTTTTATGTCCTGGATCTCTCACCATTCAATTCCACCGGATGTCTTCAGATATATTAGAGAGAGAGAGAAAATTCTCCTTATTTACTTTGTCCTCATCAGATACAGTTTTTTTCCCTCTCTCATGTTTTCCCTCCTTTGTCTTTTTTTTTCTTCCAAAGAAGGACATGGGAGAATAGTATAACATTTACACTATCCTATTCTGGGGATTGGGGACATAGTGGCGCTGCAGGTTAAACCGCAGAAGCCTCTGTGCTGCAAGGTCAGAAGACCGGCAGTCGTAAGATCGAATCCATGTGACAGAGTGAGCTCCCGTTGTTTGTCCCAGCTCCTCCCAACCTAGCAGTTCGAAAGCATTTATCTACTTGAATACGAGTAGATAAATAGGTACCACCACGGTGGGAAGGTAATGGTGTTCCATGTCTACGCGCATTCGCCACGTGACCACGGAAACTGTCTACGGACAAACGCTGGGTCTACAGCTTGGAGACGAGGATGAGCACCATGCCCTAGGGTTGGACACGACTGGACTAAATGTCAAGGGGAACCTTTACCTTTACCTTTTATTCTGGGGATAAAGACCTAGAGTCATTGTATAATAATTGCAAAAGTAGTTCTGCTGACAAAGCATCCGATTTAAAAACAAACAGTTAATCATATGACCCAGGATTCCCTGGATAGCTAAGTTCACTGGGGATATTTCTTTCATTGTGGGTTTGAGCACCCACTTCCTATGTATATACCATCCCAGGTTCAGTTTCCAGTGCTGCAGATCAAAGGATCTGGGGTAAAAAAAAAAAGGATCTGAGAAAAACTTAGTTGTAGACATCATGTGAGATAAGCCATGAAAATTGCTGCCAGTCAAAAAAAGATATTACTCAGCTAGGTGGACCTGTAGTCTAAAGGTGTATATTTTCCTTCTGAAAACTCTGATCTATGCAGCTATAAACCAATGTTTTCTACTACTCATAGTAGATAGTGGAACTGGAGAATAAATCAATTACTAATTGACTGTAGTCCCTCTCCAGATGCCACAAAGCTCAAACTTTGCTGTATGAGAGCACTAGAGATTTTCTCCAGATGAAGTTTGATGCACGGGCAAATGAGAAATCCTGGATGGCAGAGAAGGACGTGCTGCTGAGGAGGCTGGACAAAAGCAAAGACGGATCCAAACGGAGCAGGGTTTGGCGGGACGGTGGCCAGGGACAGGAAGCTGTCAATCGAAGCAAGGACAGTGGTCGAAGCCATCGTGAGAGTAGCCCAGATGAGCAAGACAGTAGTCCGGAACATTGGGAGAATAGCCCCGGTCAGAGTTTCAGCCGGCGAGCTTCTCCTGGCAGGAAGCTACAGAGAAAAAGAAAAGGCGCTAAGCATATTTCTCAAGAAGAACATGAATTTCAACGAATGTATGGTGCGGAGATTAAGGTAATAGTATTGACGGTAATGTGACAGCCCATTTTTGCAGGCTTGGAAATATAACACCATACCATTTCTACATTGAGATGTAGTGTTATGCTCTCAGTGGCAGTAATAGCCAGATGAAGAAGGCAAATGGATGAAGCCTTGGGAAGACGTGGAAGTCCAGTAGAAAAGTGGTGAACCTTCACCACACATCAGGGTTGTTTGCTATCTACTGCCTAGGTGTGGATGAATAGAACAGCCACTATTAACCAATGGAGTAAGTATCCCATAGGTAGTGCCTAGCTATGTGTAAATATCTGCTGTAACATATCTAGTTGGCCTACGTCTTATATGATCCTTATCAAAAGCAACAAATAACAGTGAAATTAGTTCCATTTGATTTTCTCGACCCAACTAATTAATTGCTCTCTATCTGAAAATTAACATTTTTCATCCTAAATGGGTGGTAAATAAGAGCATTGTCCTAGATCTAGAATATTGATGTTATCTCAAACCAGTGACACTTTAAAGGAAGCGCAGAGCACACATCAGGATGATCGATCTAATGTCTGTCTAGTAGCCACTGTGTGTTCTAGTATCCAAAAGCTTTTGGGAAGAACACTACTATAGATAAAAACAATGTGGTAACTCTAGTAACATCTGGTAATATCAACTCCAGGGACTGCAGGATCAACTAGCACAGGAGCAACGATTAGCAGATATGTACCGAGAACAGTGCGTTTCCCTGGAAGGAGAGCTGGCTAAAATTCGGGAGGAAGGAGATGTAGGGCGAGAGATCTTCAAGGTAATGACACAAGTTTTCTAATCATCTTGGCACACTGTGATTAGAACCTGCATGTTACTACTGTAATTGCTATTTATGGGACTTCCCACCTCAAATCCTGAGTTTCATATTTTCAGGAACGCTCAGAAAAGATGGGGAAACGCCTGCAGCTGATGACACAGCGCTATGAAGCATTAGAAAAACGGCGAGCTATGGAGGCGGAAGGCTTTAAAACTGACATTAAGCAACTTCGGCAAAGGCTAAAGGATGTAGAGAGGCAACTTTTTAAGGTAATGGTTGTTACAACCAGAAGGGCAGTCTGAATGTTTTTCAAGGCAACCTTACAATCAGGGACATTACTGTAGTCTAATCTGCAGGTAAGTACAACATGAAGCACTGTGGCAAGATCTGATTTGTTTTTTCAGAGGATTTTTAAAGCTATATAGCTTTAGCAGGGAAAAGATGCTTAAGTCACCTCTACTATCTTTTTCAAAAGATTGTTCTTCACTTTGAGGCCCAGACTGCTGGACTAGGAAGGAATGTGAAGATGATTTTCTCCCTCTGAAAATTCAGCTTTGCAGTTTGGGTGTGCTCCTGGATTCAACCCTGAGCTTTGTGCAGTGAAAGTTGTGAAAGTTGTGCCCATTCCTTGATGAGACCAATTTGGCCATGGTGACACAAGCCTTAGTTACATCTCATCTGGATTGCGGCAGGGTGCTCAACGTGAGACTGCTTTTGAAGAGTGTTTGGAAGTTTCAGCTGGTGTAAATTGCTGTAGCCAGACAGATGACCAGCACTGGTTACAGAGAGCATATAGACCCAGAGGTTGGGACTTCAGTTCTCCACTGTGCCTCCTTGAGAAGGGCTGGACTTGATGATCCATAGGGTCCCTTCCAGCTGCGCAGTTCTAACAGAAGGAAGGAAGGAAGGAAGGAAGGAAGGAAGGAAGGAAGG